ACCACCGCCACGAGGCAATGAGTAGGACTTTTCTGGCAGAGGCTGTATACGCGTGGCCGTGTGAGAGCATTTCGAGAGGGCGAATTCACCCCACTCTCGGCCATACCAGGGCATTCGATATGTATTGTGCAAATACATTACCATAGTTCTGTCCATTGATTTACTTAGATTTGTCAAAAGAATTAAATAGTCTAAACTCTTTTATAAAGATTCAAATATTAATACACGAACACTAAGAGATTATTTTTCGTATACAATACAATATAGGAACTTTAGAAAGGTTATTTCATTAATGTTCGAAATGATTTAGTGATTATTTTGAATAATCAAAGTGATCAGTAAATGTGATCCGTATTTATGAATGAGTTAAATACAGCTAAACAATTTAAAAATAAGAGTATAGCAAGTAAGACTATGGTAATTTGATTCATTAAAAACGTCACTGAATAATAATCAAAGCAATTTCTACTTCATATTACTATTATGCATATATTTACAACTATCAATACGTGTTTCCTCAATTGATTTCCACTAATAGGTATTATGTGGATATTCTAACTTCATACATAGCAAAAGTTTTAAAATGTAGGCACATTACTTTATCATAAAACTTTCAACTATTATTCTATCTACCTTAAGTGTATCCTCCACTTGAGATATTTGTATAAATTCAAATTGATTACTGGTGACAATTTGAAACATCTTAAAAGAATAATTTAATCTCACAGATACAAACAATACAATAAAACTGTTTACTTACAGAAATGTTGACAAAATTTTTGTTCGATTGTTAATTGAACTAATTCTCTAAAATGATTTCTATTTCTAAATTCAAAAGCAATTACCACCACAAAATTGAATTTCTTTAAAAGCAAAAAAAGACCAGTAACAAATGTTCTACATTATACACCAGGTTTGAACAATTTATTTACCTAAGACAAAGTCACTTATTGATCTACTCGGACAAATTTGATCAGTTCCCATTAGAGAAATTTCAATCACTTGTTTACAATATAAATTGCCTTTTTAATATCATTCATTGAAAAACAATTGACTATGCTTCAAATTTACATTAAGAATAGAATTAATTGACCTATTCATTAAATATGTTTATAATCTTAGTTAACACAGTTGTTTATTTGTTTGTCTTTTTATAGGATAAATTGTAACACCTTAAAATTATTTTAAATATAAAATACTTAAATTAAAATTTATTCTAATACAAACTACAACTGACATTAATATTTAAGAAAAATAATAAATATTTAAAGAAATTTTTATTAACTATTGAAGCATATAATATTTGTTTAAGTATTTCTTTCATATTCAATTGACAGACACGAAATCACATTAAATGTAAAAGATTTATGTTACACCCATTTAGTAATTTCTTATTTGTTTGTTTATTTATTTTTTTTCTTTATTCAGCAAATAGGAGTGGTTGGAGAAATTGATAACTAAGTAGTATCGATAACTTATGAACAGTACTACTACTACTGCTACTACTACTAATAATAATAATAATTGTTTAATGTGATTTGTTTTGTTTTGTTTATTCAATAAAGATAACTATCATATAATCTGAAAAAAATTTATAATTGAACATCATAATGTAAAGAAAAACTATTTTATAATATGTGACTAGACGATAGACTTCGTTACATTAAATATTTTATAAAATACAATCTATTTCTTCAACAACAGCAAAAAAGAATATATAAAGTTGTTATAATAATAACAAGCAACTATAGATAAATTAAGTCTATGAACATATGGAAATAATATCTGCTTGATCAAATGTTACTTTCATAGTTATTACGAATCAATATAATACTTCATTTGAATATACTTCAAATATATAACCTTATGAAGAAATAGACATTATAGCGGTGTTTTTTTTATCAATGGTCTCTACTAGTCACTTTAAATCGTAATATTTAAAGATTATTCGTTAAATCATACTGATGAACTATCAGTTAATATATATTCTCATTCATTCTATTCAGTGATTACGTAGTTAATTTATTCAAGTAAAGTGTTACGAGAGCAAATGTATAATACCAAATTTAGATATACACATAAATATATAGACCAGTATGATCATTAGTTGCTTGTTAATTAGCAAATAATTAATTGGTAGATGAAAAAGAAAGTTTTAATCCCAACTTAGTTTTGCATTGTTAAAACGGTCATGCATTCGATATACGTCAATAAATTAATTTTTAGAGTAAATATAGTTAGATGTTGTGAGGTTGTGTAGAACATATCCTAATGGATAGTTAAGTCAACAACATTAGTTTTCTATGGATTCAGAATCTAACAGTCCTAATAGAATGAGATTTTATTAGGAACTTAACTACGTTACTTAAATCAAACACACATTAAGGTGGACATTTTCATGTTTGGTAAGTAATTGAAACTTCTTGTGCAAAAACAATAATCTACTAGATGAGTAAAAATCGGTTAACGGAAAAATTGTTCAAACGGTGATACGCAGTCAATGGTAAAAGCCAACTACATTTTATACCGACAGGATAAGGTATTGTCATTATATGGAGAAATTCTGATAAATAGTATCTTTAGATTTGTACTATTAGTAACGTCGCATAGAAAATTAATGATAAGACGATCTAGATTATAGAAAGACAATTTACTAACAATAAACTCCCCACTGAGTTATGATTCTTTCTTATTATTTCAAAACCCCTCTCCTTGTTGGATAATATTTCGTTAGATGAAAATCAATCATGGTATTAGCATGTTTTTCCACTTTTTCAAAGCTAACTCGTAATTATATTTTACCTGACTAATTACTTCCCAAATTTCCTACAGTAGCATGCAGCAGTATTATATGAAAAGCATTAACAAAAGTAATTTGTTCTACATCACTTGTATTACTAATGATGTTTGTAAACATTATTATTGCCAACATAAGCATAAAACACTTCATAGTGAAATACGACAAAGAACAAAGATAAAATCACAAGTTCTAAAATTGTCTTTTTTTCAATTGAATTAGTCTCAATTTTTTACGTGTAATTCTGTGAAATATTACACATGTAATTATGCGAAAACCTGATGCATTGCAAAACAAAACAACCTCAGGTTGATAGGATTTTGTTTTGGTGTTTTGTCTTACACATACAAAGAAAAATAGATTGGCAGATAATAACTCACCCACCAATTATCGATGATCAGAAAACACAAAGTCAACTCAATGAATAAAGAAACATCATAATTGATCCGTGTTAAGAAGCCTAAAATAAAAAGTGTTGTCAAATGCATTAAATTTGTTGTTGCTAAAGGTATCAATGAATTTTGTCCGGAAAAGCGGTCCAGTTTGTTATCATACTATAAAAGAATGAAGTGACTAAAGTAGTGTGCAACAGAAGAAAAAAATACTCAAATTGAAAAAAACCTCTAAGTATTGGAAAAAAGGGGTGAAGATCAGGTCAAAAAAGACTTCTTCTGTTTATATGCCCTCTGTTACATAAATCATGGGAAACAACACACAGGAACTATAGAAAACAAAAATGAAACAATACATTCTCGAAGTTAAACAGATAGTAGTATTAATATAGAAAAAAAACACAACTAACATTTTGTTTCTAATGAAGAATTTAATGAATTAAAAACTTCTTTTTGTTATGTAATCATCACTGCTTTCTAGCACTATTCAATAACCCGGAGTTTTCTCTGAAATAAAATACACTCTACTTTATATACTGTAAATACACAATAGATTTTTTTTAACCGGGCATTTAAACATTTTTAACAGTCTTTTTTATTTGTATTCTAGTAAAATTGCATTATTCATTAGTGAATTGAAAGATAAACAAATAGACGAACTTGGTAGTAGTAGTGTTGGTAGCAGCATTAGTTGTTGTAAAACATAAAGCAAACTTATAAGAAACGCATCAAATAGAGAAAAATGAATACAACAGCCCAGAAATGAACAAGTATGTTAAATTTTACAAATTAACGACTATAACTGTAAAGGAAATGATTACAGGAATTATAAAGCGACTAGTTGAGAGGGAAAAAATGCTGAAAACTGTGTGTTCGTACTACATAAAATCACTCTAGGTACAAGATCCAAGAGGTTACATAATTGAAGGCAAACCGAAAAAATGATTATGAAAGCGAACAGATAATGAAAAATCTCTAGTAATTCGCAGGAGAAAAATACGTAAATATATATTCATATATATAACGCTTAAGTGCATACATTAGTTATGTCTTCAAGTTAGTACATAAGCGCACAAACATATAGATAAAAAATTACAGAGATCTCTTCTATATTATGAAGTAAATGCAAGAGAGGCTGGAGCGAATAGAAATCAAGCATAAAATATTATAGAGAAATTACACATACACGCACTAAGACAAATTTAATCTTCTTTTGACAACAGTCTCAATACATTTTATGCCTTGTACATATTGGATAAGAAGTATACTCTAGAAGAGAGTAGTAGGAGAAAAAAATAAACAATTGACTGATTGACTTACAACATTGTAAACTCTCTTCTGGAAAAAGTTGACCAAAAGAAAAACACTTGGATTGAGAAAAACACAGATAATAAGAGGATTTGATTGCTTACTTTGCTCGAAAGCACATACACAGACACACATAGCCCATTCACTACGCAGTATGAAACTCAAAGCAGTAAAAAAGAAACAGAAAATGAACGGAAAAATAAAATTCTGACAAACTATCTCATTAATAATAAGTCAACTGAAATTGTGTTTCTAGTGTGTGAGAAACAAACAAGTAAAAACTGGGAGAGAGATAGAGGGAACAATCAGTGATAAAAAAGGAAGAAAACAACTTTTTTCGCATTATTAGATTGATTACAATCCTATATTTATTTATTTATATGTTTGATTTATTTTTGTTGGCCAAAAAAACGAAACAATAATATCGGCAACCAAGAGAAAAAAACTGACGGTGCACAGATTCACACATTTAAACAAATGATTTGAATTCTTTCTTTTTTCTATCAGTTCCATATTCGCAAAAAACTATCCCATGATCCTGTGCACACTGCCATACCATCTTCGGACACGCCTAAACAACTAACACGGTTATCATGTCCAGCCAATATACCTGAAATTCAGAAAAGGGAGAAATAAACAAACAATTATATCAAGTTGAATTATGTTTGCTCTTTAAAAGTGACTTTCTTGTAATATGAATTAAAATATGTATAAGGTTTGAAGACAAAATTTATGATTGGACAGTAATAAAAATATCAGTGTAAATAACAATGTAGAAACATTCAATCTTATATTATTAGTTATAAACCTAAGTGGACTTAAGTGTTTTCCACTATGAAGACCTCGACATCTGAGGGAAAACACGGAATACAATGGACAACTCAGAACAACTAGACGATTTGGACTTCGCAGATGACCTAGCCCTCCTATCACATACACACGAACAAATTCAGATGAAGGCAGCCAGCATAGCAGCAGTCTCTGCATCAGTAGGCCTCAACATACACATGAGGAAAACCAAGGTCCTCAAATTCAACATGGAGAACAGCAATCCAATCACTCTTGATGGAGAAACTCTGGAAGATGTAGAATCCTTCACATACCTGGGAAGCATCATCGATGAACAAGGAGGATCAGATGCAGATGTAAGGGCGAGGATTGGCAAAGCAAGGACAGCATTCCTACATTGAAAAAACATATGGAACTCAAAACCACTGTCAACCAATATCAAAGTCACAATCTTCAATACGAACGTCAACGCAGTTCTACTGTACGGAGATGAAACTTGGAGAACTACAACAACCACCATCAAGAAGGTACAAGTATTTATCAATAGCTGTCTACGCAAGATACTCAACATCCATTGGCCGGATACCATCAGCAATAGCCTTCTGTGGGAGAGAACAAACCAGCTTCCAGCTGAAGAGGAAATTAGCAAAAGACGATGGAAATGGATCGGACATACAATACGCAAATCATCAAATTGCATCACCAGGCACGCCCTAACTTGAAATCCTGAAGGGAAGAGGAAAAGAGGAAGGCCAAAGAACACATTACGTCGGGAAATAGAAGCGGATATGAAAGGGATGGATAACAACTGGAAACAGCTAGAAAGGATTGCCCAGGACAGGGTTGGATGGAGAATGCTGGTGAGCGGCCTATGCTCCTTCACGAGGAGCAACAGGCGTAAGTAAGTTTTTTCCACATTTTACAAAGGTAGATACTATTGTTGAGATTTTCTAACAAATAATATTTGTTCTACCCTAATAAGCAAAATGAATATTTTGATTTATCGAGCCATTATATTCATGAAGCAATCACACGAAATGAAGATAATAGTTTTAGAATTACTGAATAATAATTGTACGAAATTCAATTTAAAAACTACTTATTACATTTTAATTGCCATTGATAGTGAAGGATTAATATGAAAGTTATATGGCAAGAGTAAACGGTGTTAATAAAATTTGTGCATTACAATTATTTCCTAATGTTGTATTGTTTATCATAATAATCTTCTCTAATTGACCTTGATAGTCATGGAATATAATAGACATAAAATTAATGTATATCTCATATAAGTAATCACCAACTTACATCTCACTTTCACTGTTGACGAAAGAGAATGTGTGTGTAGTCAAATGAACCTGATTACAGTCACAGACAAAATCCTAATTCAGCTTAGATGTAAATATATATTCGATTTAAAAATCAACATGGAAATTCCTTTATTCAATTAGACTGTCGGGTTTAATAACATAATATTAATAGTCCTTTGAATAACATAATACTAAATACAGTAAAGTAGAATTTAAAATGAAACTTAGATATGTTTTGAGCTGTATTTATCATATGCAACAATAGATCACCCATAAAATGGCCACATATGAGCAAAGGTTAGCGTGATACATCAAAACTACTTCTTATTAGAAATATGTATAAAATAGTGTATTTCAATGGTGCAGATAATTATAAAAACACTTTTTAGCAATCATTCCAGTTCATTTTATATAGGACGGCAAAAGTATGCATTAGTGTTTGACTACCAGGTCAACAAAGACTGTTGAAGTGTACACATGTTACGATTAGTAAGAAAAAAATAACTATTATAGTTCTGAAAAATACAGTAATCTGTCATCGTCCAGTATACTGATCATTAAAAAGACTGCAGCTAAATCACTTGAATAACTTGATATGAATAAGTGCAACAAACGTAAACGTTTTTAGGTGTGATGGTTTTAATAACCGGTTGATAAAATATTTCAATAATCAGTAAAGCTATATTGCCGTTTAAACCAGTATCATTTGGTTTAGAATCCAGTAGTCTTTCAGGTTAAAAGTTTTAATATAAGCATTCTAAAATGATATTTTACACACACTCAACTACAATATTGATCCATAGTTACAGGGTTACATTTGTTAGTTAGTAAAAAGAATGAAGGAAGGAAAGAATAAATAAAAGCATAAGCAAGTAAATCACTTGACATTCTTAAACATAATTGAACAGTAAATGAATGTAGTAAGTAATAGATGAAAATGAAAAAACACCCAACAATGTTGCTATCGATACGCATAAGTAATAATTTGTACTATTTATGATGAAAATAGCCGTTTCCGTCACAGATTAACATTTTGTGACAATAAAAGTCTGGTTAGTGATAGGTGCTTCAATTATCATTTCCAATCAAAATAAGATAGCTGATAATTGCCTATGGTTCACATAAATCTGAAACTTAATATAACCAACTCAAAAAAATATACATCATAAAATGACCATAGAACGACTTGGTTTTATACATATATGTTTACAAACACCTTGAACTTCTACAGTTTCAAGCAACTATTTTCAGGATCGGAGATTAACTAGACAAAACAAATTGGTGTTTTGGAAAATTTTTATTAAAGTTTGTAAACCTATTAGAAGTAACGAGACAAAGTAAATACATTTATCTGTGCTGTATTACCAAGTAGATAATAATACGTAGCAGTACAAATGTATGACAGATTGTTTTAAAAAAATAAATAGAAAAGAACATAACATACCAGCACGTTCTTGTTTAAGTGTATCCCATATATTGCAATTGAAATCATCATATCCACCAAGTAGTAATCGTCCACTTTTACTGAAAGCAACACTTGTTATTCCACAAATAATATTATCATGACTAAACATTCCAATTTCTTGGTCAGCTCTAATATCAAAAAATCGACAGGTTGCATCATCGCTACCAGTTGCAAAAGCTAAACCGCTTGGAAAGAATATAATTGCATTGATATCTGATTCATGTCCAGTGAACGTTTGTTTACATTGACCATCACGTATATCCCATAGCTTTTAGGTTAAGACAATTGAAAAAACACATACGTTTCACAAAGATTTCATCAATAAAGATACATTTTTAAATGAATCAGCCAGTCATATGCAATATAGAATCTGGGACATATGTGTATATGTTTAAGTTATAACATCATATCAGCAAGACGAGATGGAATTATAAAAAAACGGATAAAAAAATTGTAGAAAAATTAGGCATAAACAATACGGTTTGAGAAATAGTGAACTAATCGAACAGAGAGTACAAAATAATTTTGAAAATCAAGATCTAAGGGAAGGAAAACAGTGAATGAATCTGAACCAATGTGATCGATACTGAACTATGTTGCCTAACTCCTTTTAAACACTGGTCATGATTATTACGAGGACTTTAACTAGGTAGCCTACGTCTGCAAACACAGCTTACTCCAATAGTTAATAATTTCATGGGGTGATGCTACATCTTGGTTTAACAGTTACCTTCCAGCCTAGTCAGAAGTAATACAGATCCCAACCGCCTTAGTCAATGAAAACTCAGTACATCAACAACTGATTTGTTATTATTAAGTGATATTCTGAATTTAATCTCAGGAGTGTTTACTCAATGTTTAAAATACACGCGAGAAATGCTTTGAAGGCATCTGTGATCAAATATTAGTAATTTACAAATGTCATTCATATACGTACCTTACGTTAATTGTCATCATAACTTAACAGACCCTACCTTGATCTATAAAATTATAGAAATTTCTGAAAACAAAGCAAGAGATCGAAAACTATTCCAATCTAAAACTCATAATTTCTTAGTGTGAATAACCTTGACAGAAAGTTGATCAGTGTTAAATAATACATCACTGGATAACATTCGCTGTAAAAATATTTGACATTTATTTCAAGAGATAAAATAAAGCAAAGTGGTCAATAAATTTTAAGCAATAGGACAAAATAAACAGTATCTGTCCAACAAGATAAGAAAACAAAGTTTTAAAAAATCATTATTTATTACCATTATTATGAAATCAATCTAATAATTACAAATTTGTTTGCATATTCGATACACATATTTTAGTGAGTTAGTTGTAATACTACAACCAAAGCAGACGGATTAGAACCTAAAAGCTAATAGTTGAAAGTTCAATGGTTTAACTACTAGAAACCAAAACTGGTGCCAACAAAATGTTATTATTACCAATAAAGTCAGTGATTTTTCAATGTACATTGCTAGTTTTGGTATTAGATTGGTTGATTGAAAAAAATTTGAAAAATATGGGAATGTTGTTCTTAGCGATAATTTTTTGCACGATAATAAATCGAAGATAATGATCATCGATGGAATTAAATAATTGCAGCGCTATATCGTGAACTGATTAAAGTTACAATGAAGAAAATTGGATTCCTAATAAGTGGTTCGAACGCAAAAGGTTAGGCACCAAACTTTAAAGTCCTGCGGGTGTTCACTGGTGAGGAAGCATACACTAAGACAGAATAGCTTATTCTTCTCTGGATTTTAATGACGTATAACTGATGTCAACCAGAGACAGATGCAATCTATAAATGATGTAATATTATGCACCATTGTTGCAAAGTACAGAAAAACGTACATTCGGTGAAATTGAAACCTATTAAAATCACATTCATTTTGAGAACATAACTCAATTTAAACAGACTAAGAAAAAATACGAATCATAAAAGAACTAAACATAAATAATAACAATCCCTAAAAGCTAAAAAAGTATGACGCTGAAAGATTTTTCTGAATTTCATTACGGAACATAAGTAAAGGAAACCTAGGCGCAGTTTTCTCAATAAAATTGACCCTATAGGGCCCTAACCTACACTTCAGTTTGTATATGTTTGAGTTTATTAAGCCCTTGAGTTAAATTTTATGGGCAGTGTCAGTTGTGTTGGCAACAATTTGCATATATCTTGGCATTAGTATTCCCAGGCTTTAGTTGTGTTGTGCTATAGATAAAATGTATCCATATTTGAGTATTGACCATGTTTATCAGTTTATTTCTTTTGGATTTATTTTTCCTTAAATGAGTTGGTAGAATATCTTAAGGTAAAAAAGCACCTTTTTTCTGTAGTGCAGATTTTTTCGTAACTTCATATCATTTATTCATTAAGTACAAATTCGTGAAATTGGCTTTGACTGTATTTGTGTAATGGAAGCGAGTGGAACGGGTTCGAACCTGGAACTAAGTAGTCAGACTACTAATTAAATCACAGTTCTATTAAGATACGTTAACTAAAACGAAGAGGCTGATGTGATTTAATGACATCACTATGATTCACACTTGAGGATTTTTTCTGCTATCAAACCAAATGACCAATCAGCATGATACTTAAATAGAGGTTAGTATCATTTTTTTAAACAACAGTTACCTAGACCAGCTTAGTAAGCAGTAGAAAAATTAGTATTAAGTTATTTTACTGTTTTATTTCCCTGGAAGAAGGGATCTGAGCGTGAAATATATTCGTATGATTAGATACTTTTATTTGTGAGGTATGGGCAATGTTTGCCGAGCCAAAAATTAAAAAAGGTATTTGAACGGACATGCAACGCGTTAACGTTAAACAGACAGGCATTCATTGTATTAGAAACTAGAGATGGAATAAAATTTCAAGCCAGGGGTAGAAAGAATGAGAGATAGAAAGACAAGGCAGGCGCACAAGAATGGTCGGTAAATAGACAATATCGATCAATAAAAAAAGAAGAAATCGAAAAGCAATGTTACTGGCCTGAACAAGGTTTTATATCCCAAAGCTATTATATCAGCTTACTTGATATTGATTAAATATCAGGAACGCGTGAGCAATTAGTTGATATATATATATATATATATATATATATATATGTAGCACGTGTTTATATTTATTTCTTTGATATTTTTCGAAGTTCGAACTGGTGACCGTGTACGCCCAAAAACCAGTACACATGAATAAAAAAGAATTAACTACTACTTACTATAGCAACAGAGGTTGATTAATTAGATGAAAATAAGAGAATGCGTGTGAATTTCAGCTTTATTTCATGACAGCCATAGACAAGGATAATTTTTTCAGGGCGTTTACAGTGAACCTTTATAAACGATAAAAAAAATTCTTCCTATTTCCATCAAACAAAAGTGAAACTTTAAAAAAAGACTAATTTTAGAACAGAACATAATTACTACTAAGATTATGCCAAAATTATATTAAATTATTGAGAATGAAGTTTAAATAAAAGAAACTAACTTTTGCTGACGCATCACAAGCTCCTGAAACAAATGTCCGTAGATCAGGTGCTAAACTAAGACTCATTACATCGCCTGTATGACCTGTGAAAGTAGCAACTTGTTGCCCAGTTTCAATATCCCAAAGTCCACTAAAAGAAAAAGAAATATAACACTGTCAAGATCATAATGACAGAAACTCTTGAAGATAAAGGACATTATATTCATTCACAAACAAAATGTACTAATAACAATAAAATACTACAAGAAATGATAGACAAAAGTGTAGCACAGACAAGTACTTTCTTATTTATAGAAAGCATTAAATACATTAAAAACTTTGATATAAATATAAATGTTTTTACTTTTGATTATGTTAACAAGTTCATTACTCTCTAGGTTTGGTTTTATTGTACGAAGTTTACGTTTCGATAAAAATCTCATATCAAATGCAACCTAAAAATCAAGCTGCTTTGATTAAATGTTAAAAATGAAGTGCTTACCTTTATAAAACTACCATGAGCTTATCTAGAATGAGGTATATGAGGACTTTTCTTGTAACCGATAGTAGTGTTTTTCTACTATAATTCTCACATTTTCTCAGATCTTTCCTCGGTATCTTGATGAGTTATCCCTCTTTCCAGTCTGTCGGCACATGTTCTTCCTTCCAAATCTTCCTGATTAGAACGTGGAGCATTTTTGCAGTTACTTCTAGGTCTGACTCCAGTGCTTCAGCTGGTATATTGTCAGATCCTGCTGCTTTCCCACTCATCATTTGTCTGATAACCAGCCATCCTGATTTCCGCGATCGACAGTGGAGTGACAACTACAGGGAGGTTTGTAGGTGCTGTTTCGATGTCTGGTGGATTCAATCGAGTTGGCCAATTTAAGAGATCCTCGGAATGTTCTACCCACCTGTTCCACTGTTCTTGAATTTCAATGATTGGCTTGCTTTCTTTGCCCTTGACTGGTCTCTCTGGTTTACTATATTTCCCTGTCAGTTTCTTAATCGTGTCATATAGGTGTTTCATATTTCCCTCTCTTGCAGAGCTTTCCACTGTCGTTCATATAGTTGTTTCATATTTCCTTCTCATGCAGTTCTCCACTATCCTTCACTTAATTTTGCTTGTCAACCCTAATGCTCCTTTTCACTTGCTTGTTTGCTTCTGTGTATTCAGTTTGTGCCTTGACTTTCTCTGTTCTTGTTCGGCTGTTGTTAATTGCTGTCTTTTTTTTCTTGCCTTCTTGAATCTTGTCCAGGGTTTCCATAGAGATCCATTCCTTATGATGATGCTTCTTGCGATCCAGAATCTCTTGACACGTTGGATTCAGTGTTTCTTTGACCTTTTCCCAACTGTCCTCCATGGTAGTTTCCTTTTCTTCGAGTAGAGTTTGTAAGGCTTGGAACCTGCTGTTGAGATTGTCATGAATTCGTTGAGTTTGTCAGTATGTCGAAGCAAGGCTGTATTAAACCTTTGTAATGTTGTTTCTCCAGTTGTCCAGTGCTTCTCAAGAGTCCTGTCAAATCTGTTAGGTTGGAGGCTGATGGATTTTAAAACTGGATACAAGAACCTCGCTTGACTTTTACTACGTGTACGTCTATTTAACAAATGACGAGCATATTGTACAGCATCTCACTTCGCACTACTTTTTGGATGTAAAACAAAGTCAATGAAAACGGAAAACATGTCGATTTTGTTATCTTATCAGAGCTGTCTTCATAACATTACTCGCGTAAAATGGAGCAACTGAGCGGGAAATAGTGAGGTTATATGTGAAGTACTAGGTACAGACGGTGAATCAGCTAATAATACTGTGGATATTCATCGACTGGAATAGTTTAAATATGTGTAGCTCATTCCTAGCTACTGTCTACCTCGAAGTGACATTTCTGCCAGAGTAGTAGAATGGTTAGGGTTAGCCGAAGTGCAACATAGTATTATTCATTGGATAATAGACTGACCCGGAGAATAAAGAATAAAAATGTGTAAGATCAATAATTTCATAACCAGACTGGTGAAACCATATACACATTCACTACTGTCATTATTTATTTATTTACTTATAACACACAGTATTTCTGATGCAGTAAGGCACATTCGCAAAAGAAGTGACAGTAGGTTGAACAATAGTCGTAAAATTACTATACAAATAAACAACGAGGATCCTTGACGAAAATATAGTTTCGTTGAAAGTAAAACTGCGACAGATTTTTTCCAGCTGAGGACGGTAATCTTACTTTTAGGAGAAATTTGACATGAAACTACTGCAGGATCGCTACCAACTTCTGAAACTTCTTAAGCCACTGTTTTCTACAAACAAGGATCCTAATCGGGAAATCGTGATGTACCAAGAGACCCCAATCGTATACAGTCATTTTTTATACCACAGGTACACGCCATAAACTGATTTCCTTCAGAGTTAGAGAGAGTATGGTGTGAAATTCACCGGAATGACATTTGCAAAGCATACCTAAGACGCCAAAGTTGGTGCCTTAAGATGGTGATTATAACTGAAATATCATTATGCCGTCCAAACATTTGGGTTATTAACGTTGTGTTGATATTGGATATCGGTAATCCTCCGAAGACAACAGTGGCCGAACATAGATTTGCCATAAATTCTCAGCTAAAAGGATTCGGATTTTACAACTGTAGAAAGTAATTGATCTTAAAGAATCATTGGATGTTCAATCTTTTTCAGACAGATCGCCATTTGTACAAATACAAACATTTTTATTCAACCAATTTATACAGTATATGCAAATACTAGGTAAAATATCTAGTCTTATTGGAATAAGATATAGCAATAGAGTCACTTAGTTTACTGGATAAGAGTTCACTAAAATATTCTGATATACAGTAGAGAGGAAGAGTTTAATTTTTCTTTATCATTTTTCGGTAAGAATTAATAGCTACCTTTTTATATTTATTAATAGTATTTTTTTTTCTTTTTGAATGTAATTGGTTTATTTAGATTATAGAAATTTTCGGATAAATTGATATAAAATGTTCAGTCAACTAAACACTATCAGTATAGAAATATATAAGACTCAGATTATATCATAAGTAATCCAAAGAAATATATAAACTAAAAGTACGCGAACTATTTTAAATACAGTTCATTGGTATGACATAATCGATTAACTAGGTTAGTTTTATTTTATAAATATTTACTTTTTATGAGTTATTAATAATGTACGGCAAACAATTTTTTTTTAAATATCCTTACTATTTTATTTAAAAACCAAGAATAATTTCTAATGTCATAAATTTGCATTTAAGAAACAAATATTGATTAAAATGTTTACGGGATAGTACTTTATAGATTGTTTCATAGAAAACATGATAAGTAAAATATTTTACAGCTACATAAATTAGCTTTCGAATTAAAAAAATGGATTTTAATTTACATATATTTATAGGTTGTTAACAGTAATGCTTAAAAGTGAAATAATAGATAGCTGTCTGGGTATATTAGATTCCGTAAAAGCAGCTGATATGCCTTAAAGTTCATTGCTCCATAGACGTCTACAGAATAAATAGTTTTATAAAAAATGATATTGTATGCTGTACTCCATACCAAAAATTAGAATTGAATGCTAATTTTCACTAACAACTGAAGGCGTAATTTCTTATACTAAGCTACACCTATCATCGGGTTAATACAACTTTTATTTGGAAGAAAATAATTAAAGATTTAAGCATTTTTAATATCCTACTATTAGCTTAATGTGACAAACAACTATCAAGATAGCTACTTTGTTACGAATTCTGTCACCCAAGAGTGACAATTCATTTTTGAAAATCAATGTAATTGCACGGATCTTATAGTTACCTGTGTGGTTTAAAAATCAGAGGATTCTTGTCAAAGATCTCTTGGCAATTAGTAGTCATTCCTAATGAATAGAAATTAGGATGCACCTTGTAAACTAATTACAAACTGAAACTATGGTAAATAAATCAGGGTTAAATGTAACGAACTTCTTTTAATAGCATAACACAAGAAAAAATTAAGTGAATCGCATGACACATACCAAGTCACATCACCAGAACTTGTCACAATTTGACTATCATCAAGAAAACGACAACATGATAGATATCCTGTATGTCCTGGAAGCTCACGACTGACACGTACATTCCCTTCGCGTGTTTTGAGATTGTAAATGGAACAAATGTTGTCCAAACCACCGCATGCGACATAATTACCGGAAGGTGCATAAGCACAGGTCATGACCCAACTACTTCTTAGAGGAATGGCATGAACCTACAACAGAATTTTGACATGAAATCGAAACTAGTTATTACTTGCACATATAACGATAAAACGCTGGAATGTGTAACAAACAACTAATTAAAAATGAAAACTAACTTTAGATATGAATACTACTTCATTACATTATCAATCTACTTGATGAACTTACAAGTTTCTGAGATGTTGACCTGATTCAATAACATTTTTTTAAAAAGCAAATATAGTCAACACAAGCACACAGAAAACAGCGTGGATCCAAAAAACGTTATTAAAATAAATATATTCAATTTAAAAAAGGTTTTTGGATTCCCAATATCTCACTTAAAATAATTAAGTAGGGATACAGTAAAAACGAACTACGACAATACTGAATAACATGAAACATAAAAAAAGTAGATGAAAATATTTACATAATTTACGATTCTGTATAGTATATTTATATTTTCTAAACAAATTTATTCTTGCCTTATTAGTAGTATACCCATCCCAAACTATAAGTTTGCCATCTTGTGAAGCAGATACAAGATTGCGCGAATCAGTGCTCCAATGCATAGCATAAATTTTAGCCAAATGACCGCGTAAAGTACGACGAGTACGCAACTGAATTCGTCCTACGGGCTCCACGTTACTAGATGCTTGAAGTAGAGTAGTATCAGCTGCAGCTTTGCGGGCCTCCTAGCAAACACAAAAAGTAGTCAGAACAATAATATGGACAAAAACAAACTGACTAGTAGACCATAATTCAACAGTGAAGTAAAGACTTCTATTTACTGTGAAAAAATAAATTACCATATTCAGATAAAATATTATGAAATATATTTTTCAGTCATTAGAAGAAAATTATACAGTTTATACTTCTTAAAAGTGTGAACATTTTAAACCCTATCAATTTCAACAACTTAAATATTTCCTTTAAAAAACTGTAAATATTTCTACACCTAACCCAAATAACCTACACCTACGCTACGTAGTGGTAGTTTGTTGATTAAAATATTTGGTTTTAAACCAGTTACAAGTCCAGACTACGCACTACCTACTTCGATCCCATCGCCTTTACCATAGTAGTGTAGTTCAGAACCGACTAAATAAACCATTATTTGGTAAAGAAAGCAGAAATTAGATTGGGGTAGAGGCTTATAAAATATCGATAAGATAAAAGGATTTTCGACTAACTTTATTCACAGTAAACTAATTTACATATACGGTAGAATAATAAGAACATTAGAGAAGTATTCACGAATGAAACTTGAGCGGTGGAAATAGGGGATGTTCAGTTCCCGTTCAGTCGAACAAGAAATAAAAATACAAAGACTTACACGCACGCTAGTAATATTTATAATATACACCTTGCTAATTATCTGCACGATGATAATGTATTTTTCCTGTTCTGGAGACAATAAGGTTTTCCTATGAAAATCAACCTCCATTCTCCGTCTTGTTGTGAACGAAAGATGAACAATTAATGTATTCGAGTCCTATTTGTGATTGTATTCTTGAACAATACTACTTTCTCTGTAGTGACTGAATTTGTACACAGAACAGAAGCAAGCGGTATAACTGAAACTGTACCATAGTCATATAATTAAAGCCATAGGCATAGTTAAAAAATCTTTTATAATTTAAGGGACAACATCATCACCGTATATATTTTTTCACAATTAACAGCACTATTCCAAATTTTATTGATAATTTCAGTGAATTGGGTTACAGTGATAGAATATTTAAGTCGTAAAATTAATTTAGATAGTGAATATATCAACATTGCCCCCAAATGCCCTAGTATGGCCGAAAGTGAGGTGGGCCCGCCCTCCCCCTCGAAATGCTCTCACATGGCCACGCATATACAGCCTCTGCCAGAAAAGTCCTACTCACTGCCTTCTCGTTGAGGGGGTGTTGTCTACGAAAATGAGAGGACGAAAAGCGAATGTCCGGCGCTTTAACCGGATCCCAAACCAATGGTGCACATGGACTTCAGTATCCTGCGGGAACAAATGGAGTATGAACCAATTATTGGTCATCGGCTACCATAGGACCGAATCTCCTTACGTTGCTCCACTGCCTTATGGATTAGACCTTTAGGTCAAAGGCTCGAGGTGTGACCCCCTAAGAAAACCACCTGCTTCGGTTTGGGCACCCGGGCAGTATCACAGCCCACACACAAATAAAATTTTGTGTGGCGCATATATATTTGGTGCCCTCTTGTACCAATATTTATGTGTTCAAATAAATAAATAAATAAATATATCAACATTAGTATTTGAATAGTTGAATTCATGATTTGATCTAGGTTAGACCACCACTGAAAACCTGAAAGCATTGGATGGCTGTTTCTTCCTAGTACAGGACTCATCAGTAGTGCGCACCTACGATCCAGCATGTTGGACTTGAACCCAGGACCTTCGGTTTCAGGCGCGAATACGTAACACTTAGACCACTGAGCCGGTATCTGACGGTGTTGGTGTCTAACTTCAATTAATCTATGATCTTACGGATTGGACTCCACTGGTCACGGCTTCGGCTCATGAATTCTACTATTAAAATTACTACAATCTCCACAATACCCCATTCTAATAATATTAGCCTTGACTTAGAAGAGTCGTGTTAATTTACAATTTATCTCAGTCATAATAGTAAACAACAAATCTAAGCAGGTTTCAGTTTCCACTGTGACTGAAATCAATGATCAGTACATAATACACAGACCAGTACCATGCTACATTCATATCGAACAGAAAGGATAATCGAAGTAGATAGTTATTAGACGTGCATAGCTAATTTAGTAAACCGCGGCTCTTTTAGTGTGCCAAAGTTTTTCCCTATTTCCAAAGCCGTTGTACATGTAATTTAAATGCGTCATTAGTTTAGATCAGTTTTCATCGCCTTCTATGAAATAAACCTTTCACTATGGATTCGTCCATGGAGTTGTTGGGAATAAAAGACAAAGGAGAATTGTGGTATCCGTGTATTGAAAATGAAGCCAGGAGTGAATCTCGTCAATTTAAGACACATCAATTGTACGCTATGTATACTTACCCATCCACAATAAGCCAGGTTTAGTTGTTAAATACCTTCCAAATATTGATCAACTGACCAATTTATGCACATGGTTTTCCTCGAGCAACTAAATAAGATCTATCTAAACTAGGTGATTCTGACTGTGGCAAAATGTAGATTTATTACTTACACAACATATAAACTGTTATTCAGTGATATTACTTTCTACCTTTATTTTGTCTGAACAACAGTTGAATAACTACTTGTACATTGCTATCTATTTATGCAGAAAAATATGTGAAATCTTTGAAAATCATTATTCTTTGCAGCTACCAAACATAATATTCCCTTTTAGATGCAAAATACCAGCTTCAGTGAATAAATATCACTAGAACTAGGTATATGAAATTGTCAAAGTTAAAACAAAAGTGAAGTTGTGTCGCTGAATTCATTTTGTGTAGCTTGAAAGTGCCAGAAAATTCGACAGCATTGAATGGACATAAAGAAGATTTCGCTTCCTTAACAACAGATTCAAAAAATATATCACTTATATTTATCCAAGAGTTCAAACGTTTGATTTCCCCACTCACGTAGCTATACTAGAGAATACATAACTCACGGATTTAAACAAGCCGTAATAAGTCGATCGTTCTATCCTTAATAGTCCGGTGAGGGAATTTGAAGTTATTTTCTGTACTTGATTCAAAGAACTAAAAAATCACACTTTATTTTCTAAATTACATGCGGTTGCCAAACTATGTAATCTTTTACTTAACCGTGAGTAGCTTAGTATAGAAAAGCAGTTTTAATAAGACTGACTGTCTAAATCATGTAAATGCTATTTAGTACACGTCAAATTTTACAAGTAAGAAGTATAGTTTAAAAATGTTCATACTAACAATTTTAACGAAATTCCAGATGTCCAGGATGCACAGAAGAGGAAATCTGAAGTTTCCAGAACGACTAGAGAAGTTTCTGCTTGAATTACATATTTATAAGAATAAAAGTAGCCTATTTTTGTCAAGGAATAAATTTTGATAAGTTATCATGGAGATCAAAATTGAAACCGATCCATCAATAATACTTAGTCTCTTGTAGTAAATTTATGCGTTTACTGTTATATCTTATAAACGACACGTTCAATTATAGAGGAACAAAATGCGACATGTGACAACATATTAAAGTTTTTAGTCACATATTAGGTTAAGGAATGAGGGGAAGTAAAATTTGATATTTAACTGCGTAATATGATGAAAAACGAAGATTAAATTGCTGCATCACTGTTGTGTCGACTATATAGTAGGTCAACTCTTGAAAATATAGCACACGATAGCAACATTACAGCTACGAAGAGTCTAATTTATAAGACTATAAGTGAAACCTAATGATGGAAATGTAATGGATATTCTATGAACGTTCAAGATTAAGTACATGGATCAGGGTTTAACCCTTCAATTAGTAGAGGAAGCTTAAATGAATAGAAAAAATAATTAATACATTGGACAGAAAGAAAATGAACAGAAACCATCAAATATTAGGAATAAGCAAATGCATAAACAATGAATGCTGATATTCATATCATTATTTTTAACAATTTAAAAAAGTTTTATCCACTACGGATTATACGTTTTGATCACGGTGAATTATACATCGATTTAAAACTGAATTTAAAAAATATTTCAAAATACAAATAAGCTATGGATATCAGTGACATTTCGAACTAACTAATTTTATATGACCTTATGGCCTCAAAAAGTGAATACAGGTTTACACTGTTAACAACAACCGAACTTTTACCGCAATTCTTACACATATTATCATATTGACAAGTGTGTAAAGTGAGTTTCATAAACAAATAATTGCTGAAGGAACAAATCTGCCAAATTCTGATGAGAAAATATAGCTTCTAAATTGCTAGCACGATAGTATTGTTCTTCTATAATTAAATAAATTTACATACTAACCGTTGGTCCAAATAAATTTATAATCTATTAAATTCACATTTTTCGAATTACGAATGTATATTCTGAACTAGTCACTAAAATTATTTACAAAGCGAAATGAAGGTGAGTTGGCTGACACATTGATTCAGTAATATGGCATATCGAACAGCAATCCACCGATTTAACTAGTCATGCATTTCAACAGCGCTGACGGGAAACTAATAGCAATGTTTGGAATAATCAAGGAAATAAATCAGCATTGAAGAAAGAAATATGGAAACATTAGACATTCAAGAAAGATTAAACAAGCACTTTAATGATTGATACGCATTTACTGTGAAATACTTTTAGCACTGATTCGTTTGGTGGTGAGCACTTTTTGTTTTCTTTTAGGCTCCAGTTAACACAAAAGATAAACCTTGTTAGGGCTTATAGGAAACCAAGGAAGACATATTTAAATTAATAATTACTGTGAATGGAAATGTGCAGTGAAAAAAAAATCAGACTAAAAAGATCACTTCGAGCGTGGCAAATATTAAGGACATCTGTGGTGTATGGTACTTATGTCGACAGATATAAGTAGTATGTAACACATCGGAATTAAAAACCTGGCAGCAGATGACTAAGAGGATCAAGTTGAAGAAAAAACAGAAACGGAAATTAAAAGGAATTGTGACTTGATAGAATCATACAGAATGTGAAGGACAAATAAAGAAATATTGCAAATGAAGTATTCAATGTATAGTTCTCATACTTTAACAATATATTCTGTAATGTACTAACATACATGCGGTCGTCCCCACTTGAGTGTTCATTCATTACACAACTAACAGATAAACGAGTAGAGATCTAAATTAAGTAAAATGTGACAAAGTTGTAGTTTTGAACGACTGAATAAACCAAAACAGTGATTAACAGGAATATAAGCTGCAATTAGATAATGAAAAATGTTGTGAGACCTAGAAATATAACAGCGTTAAGGACATTACACAATAAATCCTGGCAACATAGATGAGATTGATTTCGTTAAAAGTAACGTTTTATGTACTCATCACGATTATTTTAGTCGAGAAAGCACTTGTTATATTTTCGTAGACTCCTAGTTTTTAGACTTTTAACATAGAAACGGACAAGTTGTTTTATACCTAGACGAAAACAAATAATCATGAGTAATGTGGCTTGAAGCCAATGTTCGGCTTTCCGTAAAAACCACACTGACAAACAGACAAATATTGATATACAGCATGACACAGATTTTAGTTGGCTTAAGTTTTCACATCATATGAGCACGAGGAAATGAAAATGATATGATGAATTTTAGAAGAGATTGCAGTAATATGGTAGCAATAGTAGTCTGGAAGATTGAACGCTCAGAATTTGACTTGAAAAAGAACTACATTGAGGTATTTATATATTCTCAAGAGTTTAATTTAAAGAAAATGCGACTATAGAATACCTTGATATTAACTATCTGACTAAATGTGATATAACAAAATCACAGACTTCGGAAAGTTTTTACTAACAAACTCACCCTGATCATATTTTTGAGTTGTTCACTTTCTTGCCGTAGCTGATCCAGTTCACTCATTTTGGATGAAAAACTTAGCGGAAAAGAAAGTTTGATTATAAATAAACAAATAAACATACAAATGTGAATAATTTAGTAGAACAAATTCAAATTCTGAATTACAGTGCGCCCGTGAATATGATAAAATTATAGCAAACGAATCCTCACGTTAACAATGGCTTCATTATTTTTATCTCGTTGAGCCCAAGAAGACTCAAGAACAGAGAGGCTTATAGTCATTATAATGAGATATGGTGTACAGTACCCAATCGACATAAGACTAAGGAATTTAAACTTCAATCATAGTGTTACGGTTTGGACAAAGATTCATTTTATCAAGGGTTAAAGGAACCAGATAACATTGTTACATGATAAAGGTGTAGCTCACGATCTAGTAAATGAAACTGCAGGAGACTGGTGATTTCTGTTTTAATAAAGTTTGTACAAGATATTTCTCCAAAAATATGTTGGCTTCCATATATTGAATTACGAATATGCCAGAAATTTGTTATACAAAATGTAAAACACCAAATCTGCTTGGAAATATGCAAAAGCAAGAGCTATTCATAATTCCATAACTTCAGAGAAACTTTTTGGGTTCTCTACATGAAATAAAGCTCTTTGAGAATTGTTTCGTGATTGAGTAGAGCTGATAAAAAGTAAAATAACGCCTCTTCTAGAAAAGAGGGTGATTTAACTACTGAGCAGCAGAGGATGCACATATAGTAACCATATGCGAATTTATTGTTTGACTAATTCTCTTACAGACATAGAACAAGACTGCTAGTCATGTTAGTACCAAATGTGCCTTAAATGGAAAGTCAATCAGTATGTTACCGTTAGTTTTCCAGTGCTTCATTACAAAAGTGAAGTTAGGCAAGAGTGGGAAATTGACTTTAATATCACTGATTAATATGAAAAAAGCCATTACATCTTGTTAAAATAGTTTGCAGTTTGACGAAGAACACAAAATACCAATGGGGACTTATCAGTCAATATAGCAAATAAACTTTATATGGCTACCAAATAACCCTACACATTCGACACCAGAGACATTACGCAGATGGCAGGACTTCATTAGAACAGTATACTTCAGGGGACTTACAGCAACATATAGATGCGCTCATATAATAAAGTTAGAAACCAAAAAATGCTACTTACATTCCCCTAGTACCTCCAAAGCTTGGTAACCTTTTGCACTCCAAGTGGCATATCTAAAACTTAATCGGAATAATGCAGAGAATAATTTTTATCTCTGTAGGTCTTGAAAATAGTATCTTTTCACACAACTGATACCCTGATTTCACGTATTTGCCTTTTCTTTGCATTTCCAGCTATTCAGTCCTCTCGATATCATTAGTGTTACTCACTTTCCTTTAATGTGGTGCCACGAAAAGTAGCTACCTGGATTGACAGGTTTACGTTAGACGTGACTTTGTCCAAGTGTTTACTACTTGCTTTTGCGTTAGACCTCTCCCAGAAACTTGTTGTGAGGGGTATTCTATTAAATATATTCCAGTTGTGAATAAATCGTTACACAGAATACAACTAAAGTTAGTATCGATCAATGCATGCTATTAAGATTCTACCATATATAAGGCAAACATTTTGTTTTAAACGTCAAAAAATGGGTGATTTTGTATAATAATCCCGAATATCACGTAGTAACTTTGGTATATACATATTCGAATGAGACCCTAAGTTCATCACTAAACAACTTTCGAATGAACTTATTTGCATAATTTATGGACGACTTTTCTGTGACACTGAGATAGCATTAAGGAACTGTAGCCACCTGCTTGTTTTAAAACAGTGTTATAAATTAGTGTGAGCGATTAGAATCTGTAGTTAGAATAAGTTAGGGTTAGGAATTAAGGCAAAGGATATCACAATGAAATGACATCAGCTATAACGTCAAAATACTATTAAGCCATTTAGATGCACGGACTTCGCGACAAATTCCAGGCCTTTCTCTACTAAATCTGATTTATTCGTCCCTAAATCACAGTCTTACCTGATTCCTTTGGATGTTTATCTAAAAGCATAAGGATATAAGACCACCTGATGCGTCTAAATGCCATTTTAACGTTAGGGAAGCAGGAAAAAGCTTGAGACATGACATATATATATATATATATATATATATATATATATATACGGTTTCATAAACGATAGCGTATCAAAATGTCTACAGAGAAAAGTGGAGTGAATAGTACGACGGATTCCTAGTCATCTTCGAAGGAACAGAATAAACTGATTTTGGGTACAAATAAATGCACTTCTACCTGAAGTTTGTGTTGATGTCGTTCAGAAGAATTATGAAAGCTCCACGACCAAACCATCCAGTTCAGAGAACAAAACTCCATCAAAAATAAATGCCCTACCATAATTGGCCTGTAGTTTCACTATCTGAAGATGAATTCTTGAAGTAAAGTATTCAAGGACTCAAAAGCATCTTCTAATGTGACAATTAACGAGCTTCAAGATAGTGATAAGTGTATTGACGGGTTAGAAAGTTACCTAAACAATACAATTGAGTCTATATTTCGCTTATGTACACTGAGAAAAATAGGGATAGCATTAATGATGAGTATATACACCATATAAGTGCAACTCAGTAGCTACGTATATGAAGACTAACTTTTAAATTCTATTTTTTTACATTTCATAATTAAGTCACCCGGTACGGAAATTTTACTTACTTTTCGTTGCCGTATTTATGTGCTAATTTTTTCAATTATACAAGTTTACTGAACTGGCATAGAGTTTGCATACTATCAACTATTTCTACTGTAATCACTTGATGGACATTTGTATATTTCATATAAGTGAATCAAAGGTCTATGACAATTGATAAAGAGGTGAGATTATTATTAATGGACGTGCCAATCAGATTTACAACAACAGATCTTAGATTTTGGAGTCAATTCCATTCACCCATTTAGCTAAATAGATTCTTGGCATTATCGCTGATGTCACTTAGTGAATCATTATCCTTCAAACTGCTTTGCAACCATCATTTAGCCCTGGTGTGTAGGTATACACTGTGAGAGTCACCTTAGAGTCGCTCAAACGTCGTCCATAAATTATTGTCCCACCGATAACCCTTGTTACAGAATAATATTGTAGAGAAAATATTGTTCAGCGACTTATTTGGCACTTAACGTTCGTAAAACAAATCATGACGTTTCTTCAGTAAGAGATGTCAACTAATATGAAATTCATGATATTTGAACAACATTTCTCCCGGAATGTTGATAAGTTTGCTGTAAGACAGTAATATGTAGTGAATATGTTTTAACAAAGCGAAAATTACGAGTGCAACTACTGTGCCATAATATTTTCTGTGAAAATTAGTAACACAGAATTTTGAACGGACTTATTGATATTTATTACGAAAATGTAAGTCCAAATATGAAGAACAAGTAGTCAAATCGACATCGTACGGACGTTTGTCATTTGAGTTTCTGAAAAAACGTCAATGGGCTTATTATTACTACTGATAACGACACAAGTTCAGGATAACTCAAACGAAACACAAAAAGGACACTTTTCTTAAACACTCACTGATATTCGCGGGGACAACCAACGCAACTCACAAACTTAGCGCCTTAACTGACATATTAGGTTAGGTCTTATCGATATATTACAACAAACACAATGCATTTGGTCATGTTTTGTTCATCAGTCTAAATATCCATCAAAGCAGTACTAATACATTTAACTTTATATTATAGCGCTGCGTTAAGTTCTACAATCTTAAAATACATTCCTAATATAACATCTACTTTATTCATTGTGCACCGTTTGAGTCTCCAGGTATACTTAAGCCTTTTAATCCACTCAACACCATTCTTCATCGAACTCTGACCTGAGTTATCTTTCCCGGTTGCTAACCGCTGTTTTCATGTCTACTCCCAAGTCCAGACACACTGTGTTCCTTTAGCCTTCATGTTTTCTGTCCCCCTTCAGGAATGCGTCGTAATGCGATTTGATGATTTCCGCAATGTGTGTTCCATCCACCACCTCCAACATCTTTTCCGAATTCCCTCTTCATCTGGACGCTGGTTTTTTCTCTCCAACGGTAGATCACTGCTCAAGGCATCCTATCATTAGGTTTCTTCCGTAAACAAACGTTTATATATACTTGCACTTTTGTAATGATGTTTGTGGTAATTCTCCAAGTTTCAGCCCCTTGAAGCGGATCTGTTTTAACGCACGCATTAGAGATTCTAACTTTGATATTGCTTAACGGTTGTTTTGACTTTCATATGTTGTTCAACCGAAGGGATGCTGCCCTTGTTTTGCCGATCCATACCTTTACATCTGCATCAGATCCTCTTTGTTCATCGATGATGCTGCCCGGTTAGGTACGTGAAAGTTTCCACCTCTCCCAGAGTTTCTTCATCAAATGTGATTGGGTTGGTTGATGTTCTCCACGTTATGTTTGAGGATGCTGCTTTGTCTCTTGTGTCTGTTGAGGCCTAATGTTGCAGAGGCTGCTGATACACTGGTTTTCTTTATATGAGTTTATTCATGTGTATGAGATGGAAGAGTTAAGTGATCTGTGATTTCCAAATCGTCTGATTTCATGCAAGCTATCCATTGTATTCCATGCTTTTCCTGAAATGTGGTCTTCATAATTCAGTCAACCACCAGAAAAAAGGGTAGTAGCGAGAGTAAGCAACCTTGTCTGACTCAGGTCCTCACTTGAAATGCATCTGCCGACTGTTCCTCTTGTAAGACCTTGCATTGGGGTCCGTCGTATGAATTCCGTATGATGTCGATTTTCTGAGGTACGTCCTTGGGTTGACGAAAGTTGAGTATTCAATTTAGCGATATTATAAGTTTGGTCACCAAGACCAGTCTCATTACCTTATCAAAATATGTTTGCAGTGTACGGCAGAAAGAAAAATATTTTAAACTATTTGTTATGTAAAAATGTTTACTCATTTTCATAGTTCAAATATATTAATGCAATCTAAAATTACCTTCATATTATCATTCTTGCGCCTATCTTATTATACATTAATAACTGTTTTCGTTTTCTTTTTATTTAGCGACTCCATGATGAAGTTGCAAATGCCCATACTATAAATTATTGGAAATCTTGATCATCCTATCGTTAGGCGGTGACCTGAAGCTATGTCGGCTCTTACACTGATTCTCACGTCATCTAGTGGCCCTTTGAATTTTTCTCTGATGAAAATATGATCTATCCGGTAATCATTGGTGTGATACATGCAAATTTATGTATGCATTTTTATGGGAGTATGGTCACCTTATAACCAATTTGTTGATTGCATACGGATTTGAAAGTCTGTCACCATTATCGTTTGTTTCTTATAGTCAATCCATGTCATCCGAAGTTATCATCATATTCAGTGTTATCCAATCACGATTTGGTCTCTCTTGGGACTGACATTTGACTTCTACATTGCCGTCATTGGTGAGTGCATAGCACTGAACAACGTCTATTCCGATCCTCCTCCTTTGATTTGAAGTATGCTCAGATTATTTCGATACATGAAATACCCATCGGATAACTTCTCTGGACAGTACCAGAGTAGCTCGCCGTACGTATGAAGCATTTCCATGTACAGAGTACATCACGATCGCTTCCGAATCCATCCTTTTCTCTCCATTTTTATTTCATTGTGTTTTACTTACTCCTATAACCGTAAAGTTGTATCTCGTCATTTTCATAGCTATACGATTGATCCTGTCTCCAAAATCGTCCGGATATTCCTTGTACCTGTATTTTCTGGATGTTAGAAAAAGCATTGGACGCGTGACTTCAGAAGAATTTCGGCTTACACCACTAGATGTCATACTTCCTCTAAACGAAGATCTCCCAATTCTTGGTTAACGTTTTTCAGAAAAAAAATGCTTTCTGCAGCATATGATTGCTGACTCTATGTCCGACCCTCCTCCTCTAACCAGGCTTGAGACCAGCAACAAACCCAGAAGAGCTATACGAGGAATTAATACAATTACACACGTGATTAAATACTTAAGAGAACTAGCACCAACAGTGATGTAATAACCTATCGAAAATACAAGCATGTGGTAATTTATAGCACGGTTGATGTCTCGCAAGATGCTTCTTATTAACTACGAACAAAAATACGAAACTGTACCAAAGCAACCATATACAGGAACAAAGATATAAATCGATCTGTACAAACTCATAGTGAATATATTTGATTCTGAATTGTCCTGCGACGATAGATTCCCATTCCATTGTAGTAATTCAAAAGGCATTCATTCCGTTGCATAAAAAGAATAGCATTTTAAGAACTAGAAGAAACAGAAACTTTACAAGGTATGGTGCCCTGAAATTTGCAACATGCTAATTTTACACACGGTCAATGCTATAATCGACAAAGTAGAAGTTACAAAAGCACGGTGCATTCGATATCAAGGAGCAAGCAGAGGGAATCAGACGATCGTGATCGATGTACAGTTAATACATGGAAACAAAGCAGATTGAATATGAACATAATTTCACATATACACCGCAACGCTTGAACTAACATGACTGTCTAGTACGAGTGTACATCGTGTTCCCAAATAAAGTAACGGCATTGAATATAAAATACGTCCTAAGACCTACACAAAACGCAGCTGCGAATACACCAGAAACTGGAAACAGTACAAGATAATGAATGCACATTATCACTAATTCATGAGTCAACTTGACTAATTTCTTCATTTATGGATATAAAAAACACTGCTTGCATTACAATGAGGTCTGATGAAGTTCTTACTGGGAACGCTTCTCGCCTAAATGCTTTGATTTAATATAGGAATTTATCTTGTCTAAATAATCTACTATCGTCTATAGACTATGTTGTTGGCTTATGAAGACTCAAAGTGGACTCATAAAACAGGTTTGGTAAATGTACCTTTTTAGCGATTGGGACAGTGAAAAATAATAATGTGAAGATCAGGGGATGGTTTATCAAAACCCCGATTGTAGTAAAAACCAAACACATATAGTACAGGTTTAAGGGACGAATAGTGGTAAAAAACCAGAATTACACTAAGCTAAAAGCTTATAAGAGGATACAAAAATTAACGGAAAGGTGATAGACTCCCAGTCATACCACTGAACATCTAGAAAAGAAAATGATTACCACCCCACTAACCAGGAAGTCTCTGAACGTATCTCAACTACTAATATGTTGAGCAGTATCGTGAATCTTCAGACAAAATTTCGCAGCTGTAAAGTAATGCAAAGTGCGCCGCTGTATATTAAAATCGTCCTTCGGTTGACTAAAAAATGCCAGGCCTGTGGAGCGGTGAAAAATCCACTGTTTCTTGTACTAACTTTACTTAATAATAAGAGATACGTGCAAATATCTGTGATTACTGAAGAGTGATGCAGTTAGTAGATACAATTCAAGTCGTAACACTCATAAAAACTCTTGCTGATAGCTAAACATCATACACATATTTATTTTTTATTTAATCAAAAAAGTGTACACTGTTAATCATTTCTTGTATAAATATGATACCTATAATAGACTTTAATTATTCATATATCTGTCAAATGATAAATACAAAAAAGAATATTTATCTGAGGAAAATACAACAATTATACAGGTGTAAATACGTAGTAAACGAATGAGAGGAATCTAAAATACAAGACATACAGAGTTCTTTATAAAGAAGCATATATATATATATATATATATATATATATATATATATACCATCGTACGAAAAACTCACAAAATGAAACAAGAAAATACCAACTTGCAGTCGAGTTATAAAATCGCTGTCACTAATACTACTGCTAATAATCACAATGGAAACACAATCGTTGTATTCGAATATTGCAGATTGTTGAATATACAGAAGAGACTAGATTGACAATATATATATATATATATATATATATATATATATATATATATATATATATATATATATATATATATATATATATATATATATATATATGGGGAATTTGATTAAGAGACTTAAACATGTTTAACATCTACATGAGAAGAATGAAATTATTAATATTAGCATGTTAAGAAAACAGTATGAAATAAAAATAAAACTGAGTAAAAATAGAAATATTTTTAGTGACAAAGGCAAGTAAATAAATGCGCACAGATACAAAATAGCCAGGTTTTTATTAAAAAGTTCCTCACTATAAGCGTTAATAACAATAACACAAATTATATTAAAAGCAAATATATTAAAACTTAATTAATCAATATAACCCAGAATCACGTAATAAAGAATAAGCTACATCGCCACCCATAAGAGATCGTATAAACTCTGTTCCCATACGAGAATCAGTTACATTATTGGGATCTACACCTGCTGCTTCATTTAAGGAACAAGGTGGATTAAAATCCCGAACACAAGCTGACGTTTGGAAAGGCTTACAGGAGGAGTTGATCAGAAGCCTAGTGCAAGGGATCGTTTCTTTTTGATAATCCAAAGATGATGATAATAATAAGGGATGAAAATGGTTAGAAGGCTCTTGGTTTGTGTAAGAGTACTTTGTCTTTGATTGCTTCGACTGACAAGTAAAATCTCTTATCTTTGAAAAAGTCGGGGGAGTAGAATTTACAAAATCGGTTTCTTCATCCAGGTGGATTGGAACCAACGATTCATCGGAAATTACATTATTGGAAGACTGATAATTAATATCAACAGGAACTGTTACATAATCAAGCATAAGATCAAACTTTGGGTTGGACAAGTTAATTTCGTGGTTAGTTGCCTGATTTCGACTTAAAAAAGGAGTTTTAATGAACTTTTTCTGATTACCGTCTTTGTAACATTTAACTTCTGTTGATTTCTGAATAGTAATACGCTTTTGCTTCTCTTTTTTATTGCACAATACTTCTGATTTTGTGAAAGAAGGTAAGTCGAAAAGAAATCCCCTATCTAATAATGTTTTGTCCGATGTACATATTTCCAAACTAGTGGGTAATATTCGGAAGTTGCGTGCCCTTTCAGGAGTTAAGCGTTTGCGTTTAACAGCTTGATTTGCAACTCCAGCGCTCTCCCCAACGGTTAACAAGTCAAAATAATATCTGGCATATACCCCAAATGGTACATTGATATTAAACTGTAACAGTCTTAATGTGTGTCGCTCCAAAGCATTCCTGTTTTTAAATATTTAAATGAAATGATTTTAGTTGCAAGAACTTTCTAAATCAGTAAGTAAAAATATACAATCCTGGACATTTGAATTAATGAAAACTAAGACCTTCAGAAAAAGTGACCTCATAGGACTCTGAACAGTTTATCTTTAAGAATATAATTGTTTCTTAAAGCATCTTTTTCCAGTCTTTATCATTTGGTTGGTATAGGATAATTTTGTAACAAGTTTCAGCATTTTTTAAGACAGTATAAGTTCTCCAGAAAAGACAGCTTTTCACATTTTTTTGCTCGGATACGAATGTGCGAGTTAAGGAGCTGCCTTCGTATCAATATCTCCTCAGCATTAGTGTCTGTAACATCCACCCTCAAGTTTTACGTCCATGTACTACTCTTTAAGTTCTGTTAAGTGTACATATAAATATCAAGTAATGTATACCATGAAAAAATAGAAAGGTTTAATGCTGCTCACAAAGGAGCAACAATACAAGCTATGTAGGTTCCACAGTGAATGATTACCGAGTGGTCATCTTTCGCCCAGTCTTTAGTCTTGATTGAATTCTGCCGATCAAGTTCTAATGTGATCATTAGTCTAAATGATTCGAGGTCGAGCGTAGTAAGCTTTTGTTAGTTATTTTAAGGTAATAAAGAGGAAACCTTAAATGTAAATAAAGGGCTAGTTGTCACCCATCAAGGAGACTTGTTAATCCGGAGTTATTTGATGCTTTATACGAAATCTGAGACCATATCATCTGTTGTCATTAACATACTTTAACCCTGAGCTATTCAGGTTGTGATTGACTTTCTTTAGGGTTGAAATATTTAGACTAATTGATCGTTGATAAGTATTCAACTCCATATTTGTCTAGTCTGGTGCTGATGAAATTATACAATATAACCACTATTTTTTGTGACTCGATGACCCAAGGACTAAGTTTTGATATTGAGTGGTTGAATGTTTAATTACAACACCTCCTTAGGAGATACTGCAACATACGGCGTTCAAAGTATCAGTCTCTTCTAGTATCCCAATACCTCTAGCTGACAAGTAACAACTAGCTTGAAATCTATATTAAGGGCTTCCCGTAGATTTTCTTCAACCTCCTATCATACTGCTGTCCTGAAACTATCATTTGCTGCGATGTTTACATGAATATATATGTTCATACAGTAATGTATAAGGCAACAAACTTTCAAACATAAAAATATGAGTTTTGCCATTGAAGACGATTTTTTAATCCTGATTAGAATAAACCAAAATAGAAAATAGAAATGAATAAAAATAAACTAGATTAACATAATGAGTTAGATACATCCAGATATAACTACAGTGAGAGAATATAGGGAAAACTGTATACCAAAACAATGTTTTTAATCCTAGAATGTATCTATATATCCAGTTTTTAGTCTTAATGCTAAACAATTACAATGCTATGACAATCGCGAGAGACTAAGTGGTCGCTCAGTGGTTGAAGCGCTTTATTTTCAGCCGCTAGGTAGCAAGTTCTAACAGCGCTACATCTACTTTATTTTAAGTAGCCGATTAATGTCACGAACCTTCACATAATCAGTGTGAATCAATGCTGTGAACATAAATCTGTATTCGGTAAGTTACTTTAAACATAATAATTAATTCTAGCTAAAGTTAATACACTGTCGCATAAATACAATTTAACAGGAAGGCATATATAGACAATGACGACGATGATAAGTAAGAGTTCATTATAGAGGCATTTAAAATATTGATAAAATCCCCGCCAAAAATTATAACACATATGATACTGAAAGGAAAGATTTTAAAATGTCAGAAATGTGGTTTTTAGAACTGCTAATTTAATATGATCACCTTCCTTATTACTGAACTTACAAATCCTCAACATGGATATCCCGGAGAATTTGGCAATAGTCAATATTCCATACAGCCTGATCATCTAAAACTTTGCTAGCAAGAAGAACACAAGCTAAAAGTTGACGACGCCATGTCCATGGTGTCATAGCCACTTCAGCTCCAAGTATAAGTCGTTCAAGAAATATCTAATTAAATAAAAAATAAGAATAGTTATGAGTCATAAAGCTAGGGTTTTAATTATTAAATTTAAATAATGTTAATTATTATATTTTAACTATCCAAACAGTCATGGTGCGAATGACAGAAACAAATGAACTGATGAAATTTGGTAAGTCATTCCGCAAGTAAAAACTAAAAGATAATAAAATATTTGTGACAAAGTATTCTAGAACAGAATGCATGTTTAAGAAAATATAAAAATACTCGAACCAAAGACAGTTAAAAGAAATAAATAATGTTATATTTTAAAGCCAAGTAAGCACCTTAATCCCATTTTTACCTGAATATTTGGTAATGACTAGTGTCTTACATCTGAAGTAAATGAAGTGACGATAAAGATTATAATGTCAGCCTTCATATAAAACCAGAAATACTCAATATTTTAGTGAAGAGACTAGGTACTAATTTATGAAAATCAAGATCATACTAAGCTAAAATGAAACCCGACGAAAGCAATGAATTTGTATCTACACATTTCACTGGCAATAACAATTTAAACTTACTATTCAACATCCTTTTATTAAGTGCTTGAGTCTGAAGTAATCGGCACCTAGGAAACGAAAGGTAGTACATGCTCCTAACCCAAATATGATGACATCGTGCTTAGATCGACTTTAGAAGTTGTTGTTTTGAGTGTACTGGAACTTTCAGTACATTATAAAAAGTAAGAAAATCTGTATGGAAAGCTATTTATATATAGGCAAACAAATGACGAGTGGGTATTCAACTATGTATAGAAGCACTAAAATGTTAACTTCTGTAAGTTGGCACTGACTCTGTCTAAAAACCAGCGGAAGCTTTGAGATTGAAAAATCGATCTATGGAACTTCAGTACTATCCGAAATATCAGGTTTGATGAAAGCCGAAATCTTCATGCAAAAATGAATGTATATTCACTACATAAAAAGCGTTTCCGAATTGAAAGCAGTCACCTACAAGGGCTACAATAGCGCATTCGGGTCCCAAAAGGGCTGTGCTGAAAAGGCGACGCAGAAACTGTCGAATATGATAGACTGTCGAAGATTTCCAATCATTTATAGTATTGGTATTTGCATTTTCATCATACACGAGGTGCTAAACAAAAAAAAACGAAAACAGTTATTAATGTATAATAAGATAGGTGCAAGAATGATAATATGCACGTAATTTCACATTATGTTAAGATATTTGAAATATATTCTTAGCTTGGATATCATTAAGTAGGACCCTAAGAGGTTTCACTGAAGCGTCTTTCCTACGTCCAGTAAGACGCAGGCAAATACGCGCTAGCACTAGAGCATGATCTGAATCTAAGCATGTGCTCCAGAATGAGCGACAGTCTTCTATCGAGCCCCTTCATCGGTGGCTGATAGCGATGTGATCTATTTGGGTCCAGCGTTGGAACGAATTAGGGGGTCGCCATATCAAAAGATGTTTTTCCTTATGCTTAAAGTTAGTGTTTGCAAGAAACAGGCGATTATCTGAGCATAGCTGCAAAAGACGGTCGCCATTATTTGTTCTTTGAGCCGCGACACCATAAGATCCACCTAGGTGTCTTTTTCTTTCGCTTAGTTTACTTACTTGAGCATTAAAGTCACCAGTCACTATTACTACATCAGAACGCCTAGCTTTTCGGAGAAGGTCGGAAAGCTTTCTGTAAAACTCATCTTTTACATCATCTGAGCTGCAGTCAGTGGGAGAGTAGGCAGAGACAACGAAAAGGCAACGACGAGTGTCCCTATCTTCCCGAGTCCTTACTGTTCCGTTTAGTCGGACAGCGCACAAACGACTGTCTACTGGGATCCAGTCTAAAAGAGCTAGTTCTGCCCTAGGACTCAATGCTATACCTACGCCAGCGAGGCCACGGGAAGCAGCATCAGGGCTTCCAGATACACGAAGCGTAAATCGAGTTGGTTTGTTACTTTGACATGGTGCGGTCAAATGAATGACACTACTCGGATCCTGTGTGCGCGTTTCGGAGACGCAGCAAACATCGATGGTGAGAGATTCTAAAGTCCTAGCTAAGGGAGCTTGTTGTCCTATTTGGCACAGTGAATGGACGTTGAAAGCGCCTACGTGTAGTTTAGAGCATGGTTTCAGGAGACTCAATAATATTAAATTTGCATGGACTTTAAGACAAACAAAACCATAGATTAGAAACACTTAATATCAAATGGAATTTAAATTATCTGGATAGAAATGAGGGGCTAAGACAAAATTTCTCCTGATTCCAACACCCTCTTCCCACAAATTAGAATTTTCAATACAGATGTGATACGAAAACCTTATCACACAACTACATGCAATTTTTTAAATTCATACACTTGTTAAATGTACCAGCCTATAAACTCGTTAGTTTTTATACATTTATTCACTCGACAACACAGAATCGCTTCGCACAGAAGCATTTCAACCGAGTTACCATAAATAAACTTCAGTTTTTTTACATCCTGATCTACAATACTTTGGTAAGGCTATTAGTATTGAACAGCGAAACGTTTGTAAGATCAAGTTTGTTTCGTTTCTTATGATTCCTTTGAAAATGAAAATCTCTGGTAATAATGGATAGAGCTATAGGTTACCGGATTCTAAAGAGTACTGAAGAACTTGAAGTTGGGAAAGCCCTATATTTCTACAAATGCATTTACAAGAACTTAACTGATTTTGGATGTGATGTGAATTTTCAGCTAGTTTATAGATTAAAAAAGCTTTTGTTTTAAAAGATTTTCTAAGGTCGGTGGACACATGCAATGGAGATGAATCAGTGCGACCAAGAAACCTTAATTCCCAAGGCGAATTTACGTTTAGATCGTTTTCATAACTGAGTCAAAGCAGCGCATATGAACCTTGTCTCAATTAAGCTTGAGGTAGGAATATAAGAGACTGAAATACAAACAATGAAGATGAATAAACGACTAAGATCAATGGTAGTACTTGAAAACTGAGATTGAAGGAGGAAAACTATGGATGACTATCGGTTATAAACAGGACGAATTACTGATATGATTATGAATATGACCCATCTTGAGTTACCTACTTTATTAAGGTGTCATGAGATTACCTTATACGGCTAATTACAAAATAACAAAAACCTATGTAACATTTACTACCAAAATATTGCAGAGCTTCTTACTTTTCGTGATAATTACTAGTTTAAATAGAAGGGGAAATTGAATGAAGTTGGACACATTTACTTTGAAATAATTCACAGACAGACATTTTAGACATACCTCAATGGGGTAGACTCGTTCATCAAAACTTTTATACACCTCTTCATACATATCCTGCAGGAAGTCAGGACATGAATTTACACCCGGTTTATGTAACAGCTTTGAAAAGTGTTTGTTTAGATCACTGCACATAAGAAGTTGAATAGCCACTGACACGCTACATACAATATCATTCACATCAGGACGAGCCAAATAGCCATCCCCAACATATATAGTACTGCAAGAACTCCACCGTTTAATAGAAAGGGTTGTAGGAGCCTCTTTCCTAGACTTGGGCTGATATCGCGTAAACCATAAATAAATTAACAACATACCGTCAGGTCCCTGGATAATCCTACTACTAGATCTTAGTGTAAAAAATACTCCACTTACTCTGATATTTAGGTGTAATGCCGGAAAGGAACAGTGTATGATGTGAAGCATTAAGTGATGGGTCAAACTCAACATCTATGGTGCATTAATATAATAAATGTGACCTATATATCACAAACCTTCTGGTTCCCGTTCACTTATGTGTTGTGTTAAATTATATGCAACGTTAGGTTTCGCAGGTACGCTAATACGTGTACAACTGACACAGGGTTCACGATTTTCAATTCTGAATCCATTATCTTCCTCGGAAAAATCAGCACCATTATTTTGGTGACCAAAAACTCGAGGTAATTGGTTATTCTTGCAGTCTTCTTCACCTTCATCATGAAATTCTATCCATGTTTGGCGACAACAAGCTAACCGGTTGCCCATGAATAGTAGGCCTGTAACATAGTCTTAGGCGTAACGTACGTTTCCTAAACCCGCTCACCACATTTCAGTCTTCAGTCTTCAGTAATGAGGGTAGTAAGTTGATGAACCCGTGTTAATCCTGACAGATTGCTTTCCAGTGAAAGTCCAGCTTCTCTTTGAAAATATTCACTGATGTGGCTGATACCACTTGTTCGGGCAAGGCGTTCCAATCATTGACTACTCTAAGAGAAAAACGGAACCCCACTTTAAGTTTATTAGATCGCTGTTTGTGAACATTCTGGGTATGACCTCGGGGAATATTAGTGCTGGAGGGAGCAAAAAGATAAGACATACTAACACCCGAATCATCACCAAATCAAAGTTCCATCTCTCTGGGAAGCGATAAATAAATATTTATCCGTTTCGATAGATTATCGTTGGCTACAACGAGTTATCATTCGTTCTATATACCTTCAGAACCTAAGGGTAAACACGTCGAGAAATAATAGGGGTGGTTGAAAAGTGGCATCACAATGCGCCTCCTCAATCATATAAGCTGTATGATATATTCAAGCGGGGTTCATTGATACAAAGCTCAATAAAATATATTGTCAGTGACCTCTACAGTGGTAAATTCTACAGCCTACAAATTCTACCATCCAGAAAATTCCTACGTATAATTCATGTTTCACTTAGTTTCTTAGCATGAAGTGGTGCTGTGGGATCTAATCTAGTTCGGTATAAGTACACTCATCTTGACTGCTAAAATAATAAACACAATCCCAAAGTGGAAGTTACATCATTGTCTACAGTGAATCATTCTATCGTGACAATCAGCAATATGATGTTTGAAACTGCTGAAAGATATGTTTAGTTTAGGGTTAGAATGGTATATCTAATATGAAGAGGAATAAGTCCCAGAGTGACTGCGCCTGCATGGCCGAGTTACGCCACTTTGATTTCGTGTTACGGCATTCAACATCTCCGACTTTCTCTGTGGTGTTAGATACTGAATGTGAATCTTCTCAGTTATCGTATGTTCTGCTCCTAAGATCGTGTAATTGAGAACCAGTTGCACTATGACGCCTCTGCAAGTGCTGTTTGGCCACAGGGCACTATCAATCAACTGAGGCGGAACACAGTATGAATGGTATGTATGACATCTTAATCTCATGATCTCTAGACCTTTTTTAGTGCTGACGTTTGAGATTTAATGCCATCAAGTCACCTGGATTATGAATTCCAAACTTATTACAAAGCATAAGAGAACGATCTAGATGGTAGGAGAGCTTTCTTAATTATGTAGATCTTATTAGTTGTGGCAGTTAAGGAGGAGTAACGCCTAACGTAATCCGCTTTAATATTGACAGAATTAGGGTTAGTGTCTAGTTCTTTCCTTATAAAGCCATATAAAAGCTCCTGAGTTTCCATTTATTTCATCAAACCAAAGTAATAATTCTAACTATCAAACTCGAAAATCTACAACAGTTTCTTAAGAATAATATGACCTTTCAGTTCAAACCAAAGTTGAACCTTGCGACCAATTCCAAATCTAGATAATCCTGTCATGGCATCTAGATATTTTGACTACCTTAGGGTCATCATAGAGTCAACACAATTTTATTAAGGAAGTGTTTTATGTGAAAAGACAAGAGAGTTATGTTTGAAAGACGCTACACGTATTCGCAGGTTGAAAACGCCTTTACACATGACACCTATCTAATCAAAGTGTACCAACCCAGTCAAATCAGATCTCCGAAATGAAGTGGTTAGAAGATGTTTTAAAAACTATCATTATGTCGAGAAGCATTCGGTCTAAGCTGGCTAGCAGTCGCAAGGGATGAGTCGCGCGACGTATCCACTCTTGATCTGGTTCAGAAACGTGACCGAGTGCGTCCAGTAAAATTATTGAGGTCAACATCAATACCAGAGACTTACAGAACCATTTATTTTGGGGATTTATTTACTGTTACAGGTCAGTCCGTGATGTGTTAACGGATAATGAAACTGAATACTATGAGTAAGTTGATAATGTTGTTTCGAGGTTAGGTAAACTTGTATGTTATCTGAATGTCATCAAGTATGAAGACACTAAAGCTCAATGAATGATTTGGCCGGGAATCAACGACATTTCTTTAAGTCCAAGGAACTTAAGAACTTTTCTTTTGACAGGTAAAAGCGGTTAAAATAAAGATGTCACGGAAAATAATCACTTAACAACATTATTTTTCGAAGGATTTTTCTAATCGATGATCCCAAACCCAGTGAAATCAGAATTTTGAAGACGTATTTTGGAGGTTGTTGAAATGTTGAAAACCGTTCTACCTAAGCTAATTAGCTGATGTGAGAATTGCGTAGCTCTGTGTATCCAATGGTGATGTGGTAAGGTTGGGTCACTGAGTGTTTTCAGCCAGGGCGATTTCGATAAAATTAATGTGTAACAACTGAAATGCCAATATCTTGTTTGAACGCTGAACTAACGAACCAATATTTATTCGATTAGACCAGACTACAATCTTCTGCATAGCGTACAATACGTTTTTGAGTTTTTCGTATTAAAACATGTCAAAACACAAACTATGTGCTCAAATCAAACGGTTCTAATTAAAGAGGGCGAACAAATTATATCAAAGATACATAACAGCTCAAATGGTACAGCCTGTGCAATACGCAGTCAAGGGTTTTTCTAACACAAATAAGCGTGCTAAACAACAAAATAAATAGTAATACAAAAGGGTTCGATACCTGAGAATCAATAAAAATATTCCCACCAAGATGGGATCAAATACGTTTCTGCAGCAATTTCAACACTTCCTAAACAGACTGTCAAAAATTAACAGTCATACACTGAACAGCGACGTGACTTTGAGGTTATTCAAACACGACCTTATTGTCAAAAGTCCGGAAACATGCAATAGAAAAATTAGGTAAAAAATGTAAGACTTTAGTCAACGTCACATATCAAGAGCTCAGACGATGAAGACTGAAGAACACAAAGTGTGGTTAAGAGAGATCTTAGTAACGGTTTAACTATACGACAAAGAAAAGAAACAAATAAATGACAGTAGTGTTCAACGAAATGCTGTGGATGAATTTTCAGCGTTTTTCCCGTTACATAATGAGGGGATTTATTTCCTGCTACACGTGTATAGATATGCTAAATCAAAGTGTATTCGACTAAACTTCACTACTAATCTACGTCAACAATGCTGTTTCCTTCCGGTCATATTAATATTCGAAGGTCAGTCTAAAAGGTTATAATTCATTTAACTCTATAAACTATGAACTTTAATGATCAGAAGTACCAAAATCTCTGTCGCTTAGAATCTCATACAAACTATAGTAATTTTGTTTTTGATTTTACATGCTCATATTTTCATATAAATCTGTAGAAATGTCTATGTACATCCTAAATTCTGGGGTGTTATGATAAAAAGCACCAGTTATATTGAACATGATATACATGCATACTAATAAGTTGAAATATTCCCATATTGTAAATTAAGAACAACATATATAAGCGAGCAATATGAGTCATTGACTCATAGACTACCTTGATTGGTTTAGTAATTTCGTATATGCATATTAGAGTAAAGCCTGATCAGGATCTAATCGAAAGCAATATTGTTCGATTATATGTGTTATACTAATAATGTCACATGGACTTGCAAGCGAAAACAGTAAAAAGAACATTCATATAGGAAAAAAGACTGTATGATGACTAAAACTGAGTGTATAGTAGTATACAAAGTAATTGTTATTCCGCAAAATATGACAAATTTTTTCTAAGATGAATCTTATTACCCCCCTATGTAGACAACTAAACTTGGCATTTCAACGTTATCAGGTACTTTACGACCTCTTTATGTACCTTTGCTACTTTGTGAGCCTGTTAGCTATATTCATGTATGTTTTATGAGTGTCTGTTACCTATTCTATAATTTCTTATCTGTGACATATACAGTGTTCATTTTACGTAAGGAATAAGTAATCAATTATTTCCTGACTCCGCTATTTCTGCCACATAAGTTCCCATCCATGTTCTTTCATCTTTTTGCCCAACAATGTTTGAAAAATACCTTCCCAAAACGCTTTCGATTCGTCTTCCGTCATACTACTGTTCCAGGAGTGTTGGTCAACAGTGTATACACTATGTAAAATATGATATTTATTTGATTACCATTTTTATAATTTGATTGTTCAGATGTCTGCGGACACAATAATCTAGAGCTACAAACTTCAACTCTTTTCTTTTCGTTTTTCTTACTACTACTAACTTTTAAAATTTCAAGATGGCCCACGAACTGAGCTTGTAGTCATATCCACACTTAGAATGATCAAATTAGACATAGGATCTAGTATTAAGGTTCGAGATATAAATGATACTTTGTTAGTTGAAATCTCACTTTTTGACACTTACTGTGGAAAAAATTAGAGGGATAATGTTCATATTACGTCTATTTCATTAAAAGAACACTCACAACTGCCACGGTAGGAATATCGACGTCCTTACAGAGAATGAAATACAGCGTAATTAACTATCTTCAATTCCTAAAACAGAACTAGTGAACGAACGATGACACAGGAATCCGTTTATTTATCAATAACAGGAAGTTTACTCACTGATACAACGGTATATTCTCGCCAAATCTGGATTCCGACCAAAAACTACACATTACACACGATACAACCACGAATGGTCACAGTATGGTTATACTGGTATCAGACAACAAAATGGTGGCACAAGCAAACAATATAAATGGTTCAACGCCTCATTTCCTTTGACACATATCTGTTTGAAAGTAGCTAGAGACTATCATTCATCACTGATATTCAGAAGGTGCTATTTATAAAACGTAGTTCAGTTTAATAAGTTCAAGACGAAGCTATTAGTTATGTCCATAAATAACTAATCAAATCATTGTTTAAGCGCGCACAGGTTGATCTGGTCTGATGTGTTTGTAAACTATTCCTGATTCATGTAACTTACCAATGGAAAGACATTATTATCCTATTATATTAATGTGACTCATAATTTCATTCATTTCGATAAGACACGCAATACCGGTCGGTATG